TGTTAAGTTATTCTTGTTTAAAATTTTAAAAAAACTAATTAAAAAATATTTGCTTGGTTTCTATTGACTCAACCCCAAATATTAACAAGTATTTGACTGTCAAATTTTTGTTTGATTGTGCCAAGCACTAATTAGTAATTTTCTTAATAGAGTATATCTATTACCAATCTTGGTTTCAGATTAATAGTCTAATAATAATTATAAAGCTATTTAAAATTTTATAGTTTGTATACCAAAACTATAGTTTTATGATCTGAAAAAGCTTATCATATAGCAAAATGGATTGCAATACAAATTATTTTTAAGATAAAAGGATTAGATATTCAGAAATTTTCTTCAATTATTACTAATACTATTTCAAATATAAAAGTATTATTATTTTTTTTTTTTCTTTGATAACCACATACTAATTTATTAGATATTTATTATTTATACAATAAACTATCTAACTACCTATTAGACTAGTATCTGGCTGCTTTTGAAGTACCCAAGTATAGTTATCATACTGATGTTAGCCAAATAACCCCACATATGGTGCTACCTATATTTAAAGGCCTGCTATAACCAGGTGCTCAGCTATCTATAAATTGAATTCTATATACTGTAATATTTATTTTGATTACCACTTTGTTTCTTTCACTATTTTATAAACTTTCTTCACCCACTCTTTAACTTTTGACAGCCAGGACTTTTTCCTTCTTCCTTTTCATTAACTAGGAGAATTTCCATAATCTTGTACTTTTTGTTTGAGAGGTGTTCGTTTGCCTTGTCTTCAGTACATAAATTTGAGCTTAATAAGTATACTTCTCCCAAAGCTTTTGTTCTTAGATCTCTCTTTGATGCATTCGAGGCTTTTCTGTCTCGCTTCTCTAGCTTGACTACTCTATTTATTCCTTTACTTTTTTTCCATGCTGCGAACCTTTCACATCTTTCTCTCCATATTACTCTGTAAAAGCACTCCTGTATGGTATAGGCCAGTGCTTCGAAGCATTGTCTACTTGAACTATGCTTCCTATTCATTTTGCATAAACAAAGAAAGTCTGCCTGCTGAACCAAGCCTAGAGTAAATCTTTTTCTTGCATTTTGTTTTGCTTGGTGTGTATTGCTATATACAACTTCTTTAAGATCTAAAAGTGTATATTCGAATTTTGTATCTTCTTTAAGTATAGTTTAGGCTATTGCTAATACCTGCTTTTCAATTTTTGCCCAAATCTTTGCTAAACTTTTACATTCAAAGAGATGATTTATATCTTCAATCTTATCTTCTTTGCACAATATACAGTTTGCTGAGACATATATATCTAGTTTGTACTGATGAAGTATACTCAGTGTGAAAAGTACTCAGAAAAGACCTTTTAATTGAATAACTAGTTTATTACTGCTTATTAGTAACTTGCATCTTTGCTCTAATTGCCTTTTCCAGCACAAGAACCACATTGTATTATTTTCTGCTTCTATTTGTTATAATAGTTCAAGATTTTTTGACAAGTACCATTTACTTTCTACAAGTCTCTTTTTAACTCTGAGTATAAAGCTACATAGTGGGTGTTCGATGTTCTTGTTTGACTAGGCTATATCAAAGTTCTACCATGGCCAGAGTGTACTTGGCCATCCCCATGTTTTATCGAGAAAGGCACCCTTTTTTGCAATACTATCTGCCTTTTTATTCCATCTTATACCTAGTGTGCTTTTACTTTCACTAGTTTTAGCTTGATTCACTTAAATTGAACTGACTTTGTAATTTTGTTAAGCAGTGTTTTGTTTTTCTTTTTTAAACTTTTACTGAACTCTTTTTCTCTGAGTGCACTTTTTACTGCCAAAATTGCTATTGCATTATCTGATTTAATCTTAACTAGTATGTCTGTCGGTACTATTAATAGTGCATATAATATTGCTAATAGTTTTGGTCTTGTAGATGAGGGCCAATCACTTACTCTTACTTTGCTCTCAAACACTACTTCTTTTTCATCTATGGAGACCTGGATCCAGCTTACACACATTCTATCTTCTTCTCTTTTATTATATTTATTTGATAACCACGAGCTGTCTGTATAGAATATATTTTTACTTCTTTTGTGTTTAAGGTTAGATCTTGTTTCATCAAGTAATAAAGCTGCAATATTTGCTGGGAGATTAAGATTCTTTATATACTCAATGCTTTTTGCCTCTATCTCTTCTGTACTTATAAGTTGGCTCTCTGCTGAGTTACTTTTTTTCTTAAAGTAACTGTAAGTTTCTGGTGCAATTTTAACAAATATACTATTGTTAATTTTTGATATGTGTTCTACTCTTTCTAGTACCTTGTCTTGCTTTAGTTCTAGCATATAGTTGTTCTCTTTGCCCTTTTTGTTATATTCACATCCTTGGTAGTACTTTACCAAGGTACCACTTTTGGTTAGGCCTGACTCTACCCAATGTTCAACTAGTATTTTGCTATATTTTTTTTTTGTATTCGGCCAAATAAGAGTTAATCCTTTTTCCTTTCGAACAAGACCCAATCTCTTTTTTTTTTGTCTGGGTGAATATTAAGCAGTCTGAAAACAAGAGCTTCTTTATTTGTTTCCTGTAAGCAGAACTGTGATTTAACTTTTTATTCTTCTGCTTTTTTCAGAACTGCTTCTTCGATGTCCGTATACTAGTAGGAAATCTTACCATGACTATTAAAACCTCTAATTGTACTAACTTGTTGCCACATTAACAAGTTCTTGCCACTAGGATCGAGCAACTGATTGATATAGTATATACCTAGTTTTGTCTATGCACTTCTACTTCTACTTTTTTGTTTAGTATCTAGCAAACTTGTAATTGTAAGTTCTAACTCTTGAATAAACTAGCCCTCTTCTTCAGATCTAAATATTATATCTATTTCTTTACACTATTCAATTATGTTTAATATAATATTTGTTCTTGTATGTTAAGCATGTTTTGTTAGCTCTCTCTTGTCAAATATTATGCATTATACAGTTTTTTAAAATCTCTTGCTTAATTCACACTTTGGTTAGGCTCTCTATTGTACTAGAGCTATTTAGTCTTTTGAAAAGAGATGTGGCCTGTTTTGCTAGAACTATCACTATGAGCATTTTAATATCTAGTGTTTCTCCATGTACTAATATGCTATTTGGCACTGTCTGGGCAATATCTAGCTTTCTTTTAATCAAATGTAGAAAGGGTTGATAAATTAAATATAATTCTTTTTCTGATAAAGCCACTGTTTGTAGAATGTAATCTAACTTTGGAATTAGCACTTAATTGTTTATATATACTAGTTGACTTGCTGTGATTTTCTTTCTTTCTAATTTATATGCAAACAAGCCCACAATCTGCTTTACTTTTTTTTTTATCTCGCTTATTTCTTTAGTAGTGGGAGGAAATGTGCCTAGAAAGCAGATTTTGCTAAACTTTTTAACTGCTACTACTGTGGCTCCACCGTACTCTATTTGTTTTTCTTTTACTGGGAGTTTTGAGTTGTGTGCAATTAACTTGAACTTGTTACTATTGATTTCTATACTATTTAATTGGAAGAACTGTTCTGCAATTTAGATTATTTGCTTAAGTTGTTTTTTGGAGCTAGCAATCCATATTATGTTGTTTGTATAGACAAGGACTGCTTGTCTTATACCTTTTTGCTTTCTGGTCCCTAGCAGCTCTTTGAATTGCTTTAGAGTTTTAACTTTGTATCTGAACTCTTTGTTTTTTTGTATTCGATCTAACAGGGGATCATAGAAGATTCTCACAGTAGAGGAAAATAGCCTCTTCTTGATCAATACCCTCTTCTGCCAAGACTTCTTGTATTAATTCAAATACTGTTATAATTTTTAGCTTCTTGTTTGTGAACAGGTTTAGAATGAATTTGCAGCATCTGTTTGGAACTTTAATTCTTTTTAAGGCTCTTTCTAACATGCTTAGATTTATTGAATCGAATGCCTTTCTCATATCTTGAAACAGTAACCAGATTTCTCGCTTGTTTTCTTTTGCTTTCTTGATAAGCATCTTTAATATGTAAGCTGGCTCTTCGGTAGAGTTGCCAGGTAATTCTGCAAAGTTGGGGCCATGTAAAATATCTTTTTCTTTAATAACTTTGCTTAGTCTCTTTGTTAATATCTTTGTCACACATTTTCTAAATACTTCTATTAATGCGATTGGTCTAACTCTATCTAGATTAAATTCCCAATCCTATCTTTTTGGTATAGATAGATTTGTGTCATTTTTCATTTAACTGGAATATTGCTGACTCGTAAACATAGTTCTGCAAAGTTCTTAAAGACTTGTTAAGATTTTGTATTTGCTTGTTTTAATGCAGGGTACGAGATTGTTGATATTCCTGGGGCTAAGTTAGCTTTACTTTCTCTTAACATTGCTTGCCACTCTTCTAGTGTGACTGGTTGCATTACCAGATCAAACCAGAACTCTTAGATTCTTCCTTTGGGTTGGTACTCATCAGACCAAAGTTTCTTAGCCTCTATATGGCTATTTTTTTTGCTTATGAATTGTTTTTAGAAGTGGGCTTGCACTTCTTCTAAAACTTCTACAGGATTATTTAATAATGTTTTTTGGTCTTGATTTTGTACTAGTACTCTATCCAAAACTACTTTGTGAAATGGCCATTCCAGAAGGCTGGTTAGCATTTTCATTTGCTCATTTATAATTTGTTCTGCTCTTCTTTGAATATATGCTTGTATTTCTTTTTTTTTCTCCTGCTATTGACTTGCCTTTCCACCATATAAGTGCATCTGCTTGCCATGTGTTATCTTCTAATATTTTGGTGTTTTTGATATTGCTATTTGCTAATAAGTTTATTTGCTTGATTTTTCTATTCCACTTTGCAGTTTTTTCCTGTAAATCAATACTGTTTGCTACTTTAGTCTCTTTAATTAACTTGCCTAGCAAGTAAGCTGCCTTTATAAATCTGCTTTCTTTGGTTTTGCGATTTACTCTTTTTCTAAAATCTACTATCTTGTTTGGTAGATTGTGTTGACCTGCTAGTAAAATTGTGCTCTCTAGGGACTCTTACAATTCATCAAGATCTGCTTCTAATTTTTCTAGTGTTGATAAGTTTAAAGGTAATGTTTCTTGTTTGAGAACTTTTAGTTGTTTAATGTTTAGCCTATCCCAAAGACTTGTTTAGTAATTGTTCTAATTTTCTTTTGTGCTAAATCTAGCTTTCACACTCTTTGCTTCATGCTTGGAATATTTCTGATTAGGTGGTAACTTAAATAGATTGGCAGATACAATTTGATTTTTGTAAATACTAAGTTATGATCACTTCCTGTAATCTCTAATATGCACTCAATATTAGCTTTTTGTATTATTTTGACTATATCTTGGGATACTCATATTTGATCTATTCTTGTTACAACTATATTATTGCTCTATGTAAACTTCTTTTCGTGAAGATTGAGCAATCCGTATATATCAACAGAATTATATTCTTTAAGCCATCTATACAATGCTAGTTTTCTGCAGCTCTCTGCTTGCAATGACTTGTCTAATACTAGATCTATCATATAATTAAAGTCTCCCATTACAATTGTAAGATCCCTATCTTGTGTTTTACTTATTTTGTCTCAAACTAATGTATCTATTTTTTTTATCATCTCTGTATCATTTGGAGAAATATAAACCAGAATTACTACTAACTTGTAGATCTTAAAATGAAAGTGTACTATTAATATATACTTGTTCGGCTTCTCTATTTTGCCAATATGCTTTTCTAAATCCTTTTGAACCAGGAAGCCAATACCAAAGCCTTTCTTTTTAGATTTTAAGCTAATCAACCATATTCTTTTGAAATTACTATTATTCTTTAACACAAATCCTGCTTCATGCTCTTGCAGATTTGTCTTTGTGACTCCAATTAAATTGTACTCTTTTTCCTTTGCCTATTTTAACAAAAGTTCTATTCTTTGATTATGCACCTTAAGCCTATTAATGTTGTGTGTTGCTATGTTGATTTGCTTCGCCAGTTTTGATATTCGTGTTGGAACTAGCTATGTCCGAACCTGGCTACTATTTGGGGTACCTATAATTGGTTTGGTGCCTGTGGTGTCTCTCAGGAGTGCATAGAGCCCTTGTTATCATTTTGACATTCTTCAAGCAATTCTAGTCTTTTAAGAATTTTCTGCAATAAATCAACTTGGTCTAATTTTTTTTTACACTTTCTTCTACAAATCTTTTTGGTTCTTGGTCAATATTTGGTCTTTTGCTCTTCTGTTGCTTATTAATAGATTGAATATTCTTTTCTGTAAACTTGCATTTCAGGTTATTCATACTCTCTTCAAACAGCTTTACCAAACTCCTGGATTGAAGATCTAAGTTTTCTTTGTTTAGAGCTAGATTTTCCTCAATCAATCTTGGTCTCAGATCTCTGTGCATATTGATATCCTGCTCAAAGGTTTCTTTAGCCTTTTTGCTTTCTGAATTATTCTGTCGAATAAGTCTACTTAAGTTTATTTGAGATCTTTTTTTAGTATTATGCAGATATTGTATACTTATGCAGCTACTGTTTTCTGCTTCTCTACTATGCGATCTCTATTCTAATTTTGTATTAAAGTAGTATAATGTCAACTTCTGAACTTGTAACAGATCCTGCTCAGACTTAAATTACAATTGTGCTCTTCTGCTTTGGTTGCCATTTTAGTTATTTAGTGTATATACTGCTTGTACTTTGTACTTTTTTAGCTGACAGAGTAAAAGGTTATCATAGGCTGTTGATGATACATTATATATAATAGTTTTGTATTTGTTTTGCTTTTCAAGGAGTCTGATATCAAATTTGTTTAGTGTAACTCTATATGTCTTGCCTTGGTCCAGATGTACTAACCAATTTTCTCTTAATGAGATTTCTTGTTTTTCAGCGAATATTGTAATTTTAATAAAAGCCACCTTGCTTGCGAAGTTATATTGCCAAGCAAGAATAGATGTTGTACCAAAATACTTAAGAAATTTTTTTATTTCTGCTATGCTTGTATCCCTTGAGAGATCCCAGAGTATAAAAAAATAGGAAGATTCATTTATGTATTCCTTTAAGGTAAAATTTCCCTTGGGTGTCCATGCTGAGTTAAATATATCATTGTGTTTTTTAACTTTTTTTTTTGTTTTTGCTCTTTGAACTGCTGTGATTGTTTGTTGAGAGGAGTTTAACCACTTCATAATCTAGTGTGCTGACTTCATTTTGTATTAGTATACTTTGACTAGTCTTAAGCTCCTTGTTAGTTGACATATTTGTTTCTTCATGTTTAGTTAGACATCTTTTATAAGCAGAATTTTTGGTGTCAATTGGTATATTTTTTCCATAGTTGCTTAATAGGATAATTGCCTTAACAGGAATAATATCCATTAGAATAGAGCTATTTCTGTCAGATTCTTCTTGAGTATCATTTGCAGTAACCATATTTTCTAGCAAGGTTTTCTTCTCATCTGTGATAGATTCGTGCTTAAACTTTTTACTCTCTGCCTATTTATATCTTTTGATAACTATGCGAATAATTGCAATAAGGCAAACATCATTCGCTCCAAGGTACTCTGTGACAAATTTGTCTTGTTTTAATGTTGTTGGCTCTTGTTTACTATAGAGTGCAAGTTTCTCCTCTTTTGATTTGAAGAAGAAGTTTCTATATTCTATAAGTAGTGATATTCTTATTTGCACGTGACTTGTAATTGTGTTGCTGTTTGTTTGTTTATTTTAATTATAGACACATCACGTGATTGTTTGTTGTTTTTAGTGATCTATGTTACAGGGTCAAAGCTAATTTCCTGAAAATTAATTTTGTAGAAAGAAATTTTTTCTGAAAAGCAGTTTTCTAGCTATATGTCTTTAACAAGTTGATAGAAAAACTAGAAGTACTAGTAAACTTTAGTTGATTTTTCTTGATATGTCTTTTTTCTTAGTTTTGAAGTACTGTTAGATAGTGTATTTTACTGTTTTTTGACTATTTGTTTTTAGCTCAATTTTGGTATGAGGATCTGCAGGGAAGAGTTCGATAAAAATATTATAAAAAATAATTAAAAGTAAATTTCTATATATATTTTGTCTTGAATGCTCTTTATATATAATTAATATTCTAGTTAGTAATATTATACAAAATAATAAAATTAAATTAGCTATAGAAAATTTAAAAGCAATTATTAAATATTTTAAAAATCATAATATAGCTATAGCTAAATTATAATATATTTAAAAAGATAATTATAATAAGAAAATTATACTTATTCTTCTAGTATTTATAAAATAAGACACATATTTAAATTGTATTAAATCTCTTATAAAATTATAAATAGCAATTTAGCAAATGCTTTTTAATTCAAATATAGCAACCTTAAATTTAGAAATTAAAACTCAGCTACAATCTGATAAGTTTTAAAGTAAGCTTAATATAATTAAAAAAATTTTTAAACTAATTATTACTATTTTAAAAATAATTGAAACTAATAATTCTACAATTTCAACAATTTATTCTCAATTTAATACTATTTTATTAGAAGTTCAAAAAATTGAATATAGCTATTCTACTAAAATTCAACAAAGCATATTGAAATTATATTTACTATTTTATAATAATCATTATATATATTAGATCTACATTATTTTGAAGAAAGCAAAAAAAAAAAATCTATTTGTTTAACTACAGTTACACTCCTCTAAGTATGTCCTATCAGAACCATAGTGAATAAAATTAAAATTTTGCATTTAGAAGGTGTTTGCATTTATAGAGAGTAAAATATATAGGACTCTTATAAGTTGGTGCCAACCTAGATCATGCATTTAGAGAGGTTTTACATAGTACTTGCACTTAGAGGGTGTGCATTTAGGGAGGTGTGACTATATATTTGCAAATTTTATTTCTACAAAATATTCTAATAATGAAGCTTTTAAAATATATGCAAAACTATTAAAATTTTAATAAATATAATAGATTTTTTTTAGTATTACTAGGCAATATAGAAATATTATAAGATTATAATATAAAAAAACTCTACTCTAACTTTAATCTAACTCTAGTTTAAACTATAATTCTCATCTTAACTTTAACTATTTATAAATTTGTTTAAATTAGTTTAAATAGTTATATTTATATATTATAATCTTATAATAATTCTATATTGCTTATAACTAAATATTAAAAACTACAACTCTTCTTAACAATCACTTGCACCAAAATTTTCTGACTAACAAAAGGTAAAAAGTTGTTAGAGACAAGCAGAGTTATGTAGCTAGAGATCAGTTTTTATAAAGGTCAACTCTACAGATCTAGGGGGGACTTCTTTATATATTTGGCATGCAAGCCAAAAGCATATTTATACAAAAAATTAGCAAAGAGTAGGCCTTTATATAAGAAATTTTGGTAAAAACACAAAGCAGTTTTTGTCAATGAAGTATCTCTAGGCAATAATAAGAAAACAACAAATAAGCCTCTTAACACATTTATTAAAAAATTTTAAAGATCATGACTTTGACAACTTCTTGCTTCTCTTGGAATTTTTTAGAAAATATTTTTGGCAAGCAAAAAGTAGAAAAATCAGTATACTTCCTCCAAAAGATCTGCATTGTTTACCAATCCAAATTGGAAATAGAAGTCATGAAAAATCACACGGCTGCTTATGTATAAGACAAGGACTGGCATTGATTGATTAGAAATTATTTTAGAAAATTCTTGCAGAGCTAACTCTACCCAAATGTAACTTTATATATAATACAAACTTAGTTTAGAGTAAAGCTAAACTGAAGAGTATTATATAATTTTTAAACATCTTTCTGTTAGTTTTAATATTTTTTTTCTTTTGTTATTTTTCTTTTTTCTTTTTTTCTCTTGTTAGTATCTGTCTTCTTTTCTTTTGTTTTTTCTTTTTTGTATTAGTTTTTTCTTTATATTAGTTTTTCATTTTTTTGATAGTATATTATACTTTTATCTTTTCAGGATAATTTACCATTAAAAACCCTAAGACTTTAGCCTTCAATTAGCCTAGTTTCTCAGAAAAGTATTTATCTTTGTAGTAAATCTAACAGAATAGTACATATTTTATACATATGCTCATCTGCATGTTTGGTAACTTTCTCTAACTAGTACCTGTTGTGCTGCTACCACTAGGTTCGTATCTTAAGCTATCTTTTCAGATACTGCTATAACCTGATCCATATCTTAAACCACAACCTTTTAATTAGTTTCTAATTACATACTCCTTGTTTTTGCAAGGTTCACAACAACTCAGTATCCACGTTCTAACCTCCTTCTTTTCTAGATTTCTTACTGGTCCCTCTCTTGCTTCTAGCTAGCAACCCGGAAGAGTTAGTCTGCCTAGGCTTTAGATATCTTATAATTGCCCTTCTCTTGGTATATATTTCTGAAGTACAAGTCCTTTTCCTCAGGTTGGTGAGCTGGCAGTTTGGCTAGTATATTTTTCTACTTAAGAAGCTAGTCACTTGGTTTTCCAGTCTTAGTCTCTAGTTCCAAATTCAGTTTTCTTGTAGCACTATTAAAAATCACTGCTACTTCCCAACTTGGGACTTACTAAATAGGTTTTTAGTTATTCCAGTTCCTTGGATTTATTACACCAGAGCTCCTATTCTAGATGGTATAATCAAGATTACAGATTAGAATCTAACCAATTGTTATAGCTATTAACTATATTATAGTACTATTTTTCAAAAATATTGTCTATGAGATTTGAACTCTAGACCTGCTGTCTGAAGTGCGACAACTCTACTACTTTACTAAGTTGCCACACCCTTACTAATATATATAAATATTATAATATATAATATATATTATAAAATATAATTATATTATAATATATCAGTCATAGGACATGTCCACATATAAGGGCTTAGAATGTTGTTACTTATAAATCAAACGAGTTGACTCACCTAATTTTATAT